ACTTCATTCACCAAAGCCAGTGGCAGATCCAGGAAAAGATCCAGATCTGCCACGAGGTATTGTCAAGATCAGTGGAAGTTTGAAATACCACATTCCTGCCTGGTTACAGATTCACCTTCCCACACACCAAGTATGAGTTAATAGCCAAGAGGTGCATTAAACGGAAACATAAAACTTCTCATTCTTTTCAGGATCTCTCGACTTCATTCACCAAAGCCAGTGGCAGATCCAGGAAAAGATCCAGATCTGCCACGAGGTATTGTCAAGATCAGTGGAAGTTTGAAATACCACATTCCTGCCTGGTTACAGATTCACCTTCCCACACACCAAGTATGAGTTAATAGCCAAGAGGTGCATTAAACGGAAACATAAAACTTCTCATTCTTTTCAGGATCTCTCGTCGAGATTTCGTCAAGCAGTTTTTCTCACTGTGTATTTGCAATGTCGTCCCATCATTTCTGGACTTTGGAGATAAGTGTGCTACAACATGGGCCATGACCGCATATGTAAACCAATGGGTTCGAGGACTCACTGCAGGTGGTAGCAACTATTCTAATGGTAATTAATGTCCCAGTCTAATCTCTAATCCAATCCCTGTTGACTCCTACCCTACCACCAAAACATACACATAACACACCACTCTGAGCACTGGACTGCAAAAGCAGCCATTAAAAATTGCTGAGCTTGATGTTTTCCACCCTCACACTTAACTCCAAATAAAACAGGCAGAAGGGAGGAGGCAGCACTGGTCCAAGTCAAAACAGATGATTCATAATTTAAGAACCCTGTACTCTCTTACATCAAAACTAACTGGCCCATTATTTCTGGCCTGGCTGACCCAAGACTAGTGAGTGTGAGCTGGCAAGATCGCCACTCTGCTTTGCATAGCAAAAACAAGATGTTACTGAACACACACAGATGTGGAATGAATTGACTAGAATCCCAAAGCTTTAGTGTAGCAGGATATTGCCTTGTGTAGATGAGGCCATCAGCACTGCTGCCTGGCCCCTGATTGTTTGATTGCTCTGAGCTCAGGAGAGGGAGGAAAGGGGTGTTGCTGTTGTACATCTATTCAGTTTTGTTATTTTAACCTATGAGAACATCTTGTGATCAATAAAGGGTTGCTTTTATCATCAGCACTATTCCATTATTCAGCAATAGACAGGCTTCCGTCTCCTAGTAACACTGATTACAATTTGTCAACGCATTGTGAGAAACAGAATGAGATCCTTTTACCACAATGTGAACTGATAGGCTGGGCTGTGTTAAGAGGCCATGAACACATCAGCGCTTCTGTTCTGATGGCTGGAAGCACTCTTGGTAGTAGGTGGAAAGAAGCCACTTTTCACGGACATATATTTTGCCATCAACCTCTTTGTATAGCTTGTGATTGAAATTGCCCTAATTCGAAATACAATAATCACTCATGAGCAAATTGTCATCTCTCAAGCCCAAACCAAAGCAATCAAGTGTTTGTGCCTGTGATTTATTGATGCTTAAAACCTATTCTAACATAAGAGGTAGCTGTCTCCTCAGTCTTGTGTGTCCATCTTGCCAATGGAAACATCAGCCCAGCTCTTTCCTTGAGGTCATTACATACCAGTAACCAAAACCTTTGTTCCATTATCTAACTGGTCTGCAAAAGACCTTTATCTTTTGAGTTGCACCATTGCTATTGCCACCCTATATTTTAAACAATTATTATAAACAATAGCCCACTGGAAAAAAGGAGTCATGGTAAACAATAGCCCACTGGAAAAAAGGAGGAATTTATCTGGGCCTTCTTTTTTCCTGGTTGTGCCTTTAAGTCATAGTCCTTTCCTTCATTCAAGTAGCCTTGTCTGCATGGGTTTTTAACAGTGGCTGCCCTTACTACCTTGAGAATAGAGAGGATTGTAGTTAAGGCCCTAGTTTGAGACTGGGGCTATGTGGCTTAAATTTCTGGGACTGCCATGGCTTTGTTGTGTGATCACTGGCCAGTCAGTCCCCCTGAAGGGGGGAGAGTAGCTATTCCTCGTTGTGTGATCACTGGCCAGTCAGTCACTTAATATTTCTTTGCCTCAGCTCCCCATCCCTGAAGGGGGGAGAGTAGCTATTCCTTCCTCCCAGTCTTGTTCTGTTTTAGCTGTAAACTCCTTGGAGCAGAGTCCATCTCTTAGTATGCATATGTATAGCAACTAGCACAATGGGGTCCTGATCCTGGCTAAGGTCTTTAAGTGCTATGGACTACAATGCTGCTTTTACCACTACTGATTTCACAACAGGTGCATTTTCAAGGAACCCACAATATTTCATCCAGATAGAGGAGCCTGCCCTGAAAAACTATAATGTGGTGGTGTCACTGATGCAAAAGCCTGTCAATAATATGCCACAATCACAAAAATTGCTCATTGGATTTTTCATCTTCAGGGTAAGATGCATGTACTGGGATGAAGGGATGGGAGGAAAACTAATACTTTCTGGAGGGGGTTGGGTTTTTTTAGATTTTTTTTTCCTCTCTGCATAGAGATTAAGGGTACGTCTAGACAAAGAGCGTCTACACTACATCCAGTTCTGTTGACAAAACAAGCTACTTTGTCGACATGACGGTGTAGATGCAAGGGACAGTGTAGATGGAATAACGCCTTTTGTCGACAGAAGGTGTTATTCCTCATAGAATGAGGTTTACAGCCGTTGACAAAACAACTGAGTTCTGTTGACGTTATGTTGACAGAACTCAGCGGCAGTGTAGATGCAGGTATAGTTTTGTTGACAAAAGTCCACTTTTGTAGACAAAACCCTGTAGCTTAGACACACCTGAAGGGATGAACTCTGTCCTCTGAGATGCAAGATTAGCTGCTATTAAGTGGAGCTGGTGTGAGTGTGGATAAGGAAAGAGGAAGTGGGAGGGAGAGGGACCTGCATGAACTGACAGCTTTGACATTAGCTATAAGAAGTGGGAGGCAGAGAGACCTGCATGAACTGACAGCTTTGACATTAGCTAACAGTTCCAAAGAGATTTTTGTCTAAGCAGGAGTGTTAAAATAGAAAACATACTTATTTTACATATTTAAAACCTGCTTTTCCCTTTTCTTCCCCTCAGGTTGAACCCGAGGTATGTTCATTTTCTTTGAATGATCAATAATTACCACAGCTGGATGAGAGCAGGAGACTAGGGTAGAGGGGAATCATCAAAAATTGAATTTCCAATTGAAGTTTTCATCAAAAGTCAGAAAATGTTGATCAACTCTAATAATGGTGTCTGTTTATATATTGTTTTATCATATATATGTTCTCATGTACATATAGTCATATATTTGTGTGTCATTTTCTATGACTAAAATGCTGACAAAGTGAGCATTAACATTCAGTTTTTTGCTGTACTTTCTTTACATTTACTGTGATATTTTTACCAATACTTGCTTTTCTTTACTTACACTTTTCAAACTTTCCTTCCTTCTGCTGCACTTGCAGTAGGTTGCCTTGTCTGCTATATCACAAGTCCAAACTTTAACATGAGAATATTTTACTTTTGTATTGCATTTTTAATTCCAGGAACATAATATTTAGAAACATACATATACCCACATCACCTAAATGCAGCCACCTCTGCGAGGGAGAGCAGTTAACAACTACACACTGTCCTGAGGTGGAGATAAGAAAATTTTGGCCAAGACCTTCTGGGTAAACCTCTGCTCTTTAAAAAAAAAAAACCATCAGGGGACCTTTAATATCCAGATGGAACAGAAAAGGCCTTGGTCTTTGAGGTCTTATTTTAAAGACCTACTTACAGGGGACTTGATTCCCCTGTAAACTGTTCTTTCTCTATTGACTTCAGTGTAGGTACTACTGAATAAAGCAGCAAGAGCTAAAAGAGCAACGCATAATTTATTTTCTGGGATGATTGAAAGATTGAATTAATACTGCCAAGATCTGAACACAAGTGTCAGGGAATCTAGATACTTCAAACACGATACTTAGGCCAGTAAACCATCCCTTCGGACTACTATGTCTGAAAATGTCAAACGTATGCACACTACTGAAAACTTTTCTTATGTTCCAATCAGTGGGACCACACCCCCACTTGTGCATCTTGCCGAAGCGCCATTGTTTTCAGTAGAGCTATGCCAGATTACATCCATGGAGGCTCTGGATGTAGGTGTTTGATCTATTCCTCAAATTAATCTTAAATCAAGCGGCCAATAAGTGCATTACTCCACTGGATCATTCACAATTCATTACTGGAACTGTAGGTTTAGATTTGATTTAAATCACATGCAAAACGAGAATGGTAGTCTCTGTATAATGTCCAGTGGACATTTGCCTATGGATCAGATTTGATCAGAAATCTAGTTCTAGCATGGACACTGGTACACTTCAGAATTCTGGTACAATGCAGGCCCTTTTAAATGGGAATCCCAATAACTGAAGAAAGCTTGCTACAGTAGGTCATTAGCAAGGGACTGTAACAGGATTGGGCAAGGTTGTGTCTACACTGAAAGGTTTTACTAGGTATCCTGGAATATAATTTTCCTTCTGAACTTTCTTATAACAGCATTAGTTTGTCTATGCTAGAAGTTTTACTGTGATAACTTTATTGGATTAGATTCACTCCTTAGGTTATTCCCATATAAACAAGGTCTAAGACATTGACTGTTGGCACTAGGCCTGACTATAGCATGTACTAAAGATCACCAAGTTTACTCCCAGAACAAAGCAGCAATATCATTACGAATCCCTTGCTACACTGAGTGACCCATCATATTGCAGCTTTGAAGCCAAAGGGATATTATGTGTTGGCAGGATAAGAGAAGTGCAGCACAGTGCAGAGAGTGACAATACATGGCTGTAAGGGAGGTTTTAATGTTGTGTGGTAGTGTTGGGTAAATATTTAGGGTCTGATTCTGATGTCACACCAGTTTTTTACTTCACTGATGGAAATGGGAGCTCCTTCTCCTTTCCATCACCAGGAGTTCAGAATAAGACCCGGTTACCAAAAGACACCTCCATTGATTTTAGCTTATGCCAACTGTGGGTCTATCTCCTAATGCCTTGCATCCAGAGAAATCCCATGCCCTCTATAACACTGCTTGTCTGGATAAGCACTCATTTCCAAGCAAGATGGAGTATAAGTTAACCCTGCACTAGCCTGCCCTGTAGCTAACTGTCCATGACAAACCTGGTACCACACACTGGATGTCTCCTAGTGCACATTTCAAACCAAGGTAAATCAAAATCCACTAGAGAACTTTTAGTGTGTGGTAGCAGGGTCCAGGCAGACTGTTAGTGCACACAGCCAGTACGCTATAGATGTACACACCAGCTTGTTGTGCGCTAACTGCTTGTCTAGACAAGCTGGCATTCTTTCCCCCTCCCCTAAGATAGCAGATTTATACTATTTTCTCCCAAAGGCATGGCTCATAAATAACTGTGTCATACTGTATAACCGTTCTAAATGGAATTTATACACTCCAGTGTATTTGAGGGAATTTGTTTAGTAAAGGTTTTTTATTACACTGTCTTTATATGTCATCATGGTAACAGTTGTTATGTTATATTTATTGTTTCATCTCAGCAAAAGTATTGGACTAACTGAAGAAAGATCAGGGTACATTATTTTCTTATGAGAATTGATGCCACAGTAGCACTGCTGCTAAAGATGCTGTCTTCTGTATGAAATGTTCAACTGGGGCTACAAGCATTCACTTCTGTGACATATCCCAAGGAAATTTTCACCACAGTTAGGGTATTCACCCCATTCCCTTGGCAAATTCCAGATCAACTCACCTAAAAATTCCCCACCCTTGTCTCTGTTCAATTCCCTATGACGCTGTGCACAGCAGCACGATACTATCAACTGCCATGTTCCACCCAAAATATGATTGCATTGCAGTGGTGAATGAATTGATTAAACGCGCTGTGGGGAAAGAGGACTGCCATCATACAATTAGTAATTTCCTTCAGTTCCAGGACCTGAGGGACAGATTGCCAGCTGCATTTTTCTTTCGGCATAAACCTCAAGTTCAGAAATATGATTTCAACGGGCAGACCCGAGATGTCACCGATTGCTTTTTCTTGAGTCCAGGGATCTATGTTGTTGTTCCAGTCACATCAGAGGAAGGCCAAGAGGCTGAATTCCTTCTACGAATCTTCCTAAAGAGCCAAGACTACACCAAGTAAGAACATTATACTTATTGCTTATATGTACCTTATTTAAGCATCTGGGGTTTTAACAAGTGCTGGGGTTGTCTCTGAACATCTAAGACCAGGTCAATTAATGTGGTGTTTTATTTTAATGTTCTATGGAAGCTTATTGTCAAGATAAAGGTTAGAGATAAAGAGCGTGTTAGCACAGATGCTAGGAGTTTAAACTGGGCACATAGATAGGCCAGGCTGGAATTGCCATCACACAATAAAGGGAGGGTCTACCTAAGAGTATCTAGTCCAGTCCTGGGTCCAGAAGAGAGTAGACGCCAAACAGAGCAATACTGTACTGTACTGTACCTGTGTGGTAGACATCCCTCCAGCTTGGGATGGACACTTGCTCTAAGAAAAGTGAACTGCTAGGTTGTATTAGTAGTTCTTTAATATTTATATTATTGTTGCATTAACAAGCCCCAGTCAGGATCGGGTCCCCATTGCCCAGCCCAAGGAGTTTACAATCCAAGTGCCCAATGTCTAAATCCATGTGGGTAGACTCATTGACAGATCCATTGGTTTCAATGGGATTCCAGACAGATACACAGGTCTAACCAGAAGAATAAGATTGTAGGCTTAGGGTTCAAAGGGATTCACAAGCAATCTTAGAATTCTCTCACATATGGAGGAGAGCACGAGAGAGAAATGCTGGAAGGTGGTCTCTTTCTGATGTGACTCTTGTGGTGTTTTTTAGAGACCAGAAAAACAGGCTCGGCCCAGTGATGCCAAAGGTAGGAAAGTGTGAAAAGTTACTTAGAGGCTGGCTGGCGGGTGGGCGGACGGGCGCGTGTGTGTCAACATTCTGGATCTCCTGAGATCAGGCACTAACTGGTCTCTTTGTTGCATCCCTCCTTTCCTCTCCTCCTCTCTCCTTCTTTTCTGTCATCTGTCTCTGACCTCATATCTGCCACCATGATACTGAGTTATGAGAGGGAGAACTTGCAGAACAAGTAGCCAATCTATGTGAGATACAGTTTCACTATGGGGCCGTTGATCTTTAATTTGTGCTTTTCAGATGTGTTTTACTTTTTGTCCGGTAAATTGCTGTCCTCAGTAGAGCTGAGTTAAGTTGCAGGGGCTCATGAAACTCTTGGTGATTTCCAATCAAATTCAATCACTGGCTTTGGACAATAAAGGAAAGGGAAGAGTGAACAAGTTGAAATGTTGTAGCTTTGTATTTTCAATTCACTTATTTGAAATTTAGCTAGATTTAATATTTGTTTTTAAAGGGGAAAAAAATCACCTGAAAATTAAATGTATCCTTTTGTTCCATTTGACTAGGAACAATTTTGGGTTTTTTTTTCTTTCATTTCAGTGAGGAAAAAAACAAAAAAATTCCACAATTTTTCATCTGATTCAATGCAACTGGGCCACCAAACTCAATCACTCTTTCACTCCACTCTAGACATTAATACTTTCTCCGCACTTCCACACAGCAATTCATCTGTATAATATATGGCAGGGTGCTGCAGAAAGCTGTTTGTCAGTTTGGGTGACCCAAGTGGTCTTGGCAAGAGTTTTGGCCCAATTCTGAATTCTCTGATTTGTACCCATGCAACCCCATTGAAGCCAATGGGATTACACTTCTTAAAAGTAGCAGGAGCTCAGAATCTGGCCCATATAATTATAGCCCATTAAGCACAGTACAATTGTCAGTCCAGATGCAGAACTCTCTCTCTGGGTACGTCTACCTACCAGCGTTATTTTGGAATAACTGATGTTATTTAGAAATAATATAGTGTATGTCTACACAGCAAACCGTTATTTCGAAATAATTTCAAGATGGAGGACTTCTTACTCTGACTCCCACAACGCTCATTTCATGAGTAATAAGGGAATTTGAAGGAAAAGTGTTCTTCCTTTGACTTCCTGCTGTGTACACAGCATCAAAAGCCGAATTAAGCTATTTCGATTTCAGCTATGCAAATTACGTATCATAGAATCATAGAACCAAAGAGCTGGAAGAGACCTCAGAAGGCCATCAAGTCCAGCCCCCTGCTCTAGGCAGGACCAATCCCAACTAAATCAACCCGGCCAGGGCTTTGTCAAGCCAAGACATAAACACCTCTAGGGATGGAGACTCCACTACTTTCCTAGGTAACCCATTCCAGTACTTCACTACCCTCCTAGTGAAATAGTGTTTCCTAATATCCAACCTGGACCTCTCCCACCACAACTTGAGACCATTGCTCCTTGTTCTGCCATCTGTCACTACTGAGAACAGCCTTTCTCCATCCTCTTTGGAACCTCCCTTCAGGAAGTTGAAGGCTGCTATCAAATCCCCCCTCACTCTTTGCTTCTGCAGACTAAACAGACCCAACTCCCTCAGCCTCTCCTCATAAGTCATATGCTCCAGCCCCCTAATCATTTTGGTTGCCCTCCGCTGGACCCTCACCAATGCGTCCACATCCTTTTTGTAGTGGGGGGCCCAGAACTGGACACAATACTCCAGATGTGGTCTCACCAGAGCCGAATAAAGGGGAATAATGACATCTCTGGATCTGCTGGCAATACTCCTCCTAATGCAACCTAATATGCCATTAGCCTTCTTGTCTATAAGGGCACACTGTTGACTCATATCCAGCTTCTCATCCACTGTAACTCCCAGGTCCTTTTCTGCAGAACTACTACTTAACTGGTTGGTCCCCAGCCTGTAACAATGCTTGGGATTCTTCCGTCCCAAGTGCAGGACTCTGCACTTGTCCTTGTTGAACCTCATCAGATTTCTTGCAGCCCAATCCTCCAGTTTGTCTAAGTCACTTTGGACCCTATCTCTGCCCTCAAGTGTATCTACCTCTCCCCCTAGCTTAGTGTCATCTGCAAACTTGCTGAGGGTGCAATCCATCCCCTCATCCAGGATGATTTGGGGAAGAGGGTAGCTGAAGTTACGTATCTTAATTCAACTTTTGCCCTGCAGTGCAGATGTGCCCTCTGTGAGCTATGACTTGGTGCATTCTGCAGTATAGTGCTGTCATAATTCTGGAGTTTGGGTTGCATCTGATTCTACTCACAGTAGTGTAAACTAGGAGTGACTTCTTGGAAGCTAGTAGTGTAAGTAAAATACTCAAGCCTTTTCTAGTCATTAATTTTCCAATCTGCTATTAAGTCCCATTAAGCCTAACTTTATTCTATTACCCAGTTAAGCTAACACACTTTCAGTTTCCTGAAAAGTGCAGCAGGGCTAAGAGGCTCCTTGCTTGTCATGGCTCTGCACAAAGGCAGCGTCATAGCCCTGCTCTGGCTCTTACACGTTTGGGCAACCAGGGGCTCCGCATGCTGTCCCCACCCTAAGTGCCAGCTATGCAGCTTCCATTGGCTGGGAACAGCAGTCAATGAGAGCAGTGGGGATGGCTCTTGCAGGCAAGGCAGCACACTGAGCCTCCTGGCTTCGCCTCTGCTTAGGAGCTAGAGCAGGGTCATGCTGTTGCTGCTTCCAGGAGCTGCTTGAAGGTAAGTCCTGGAGCCTGCAACCCTGAGCTCCCCACCAATATCCTGCCCCAGCCCTGATCCCTCTCCCCCAAATCATCCTCCTCAGCCCCACCCCGAGCTCACACTCCCCAGCCAGAGTCCCCACTTCCCAGGCCCCAGCCCTGGTTCCACTCCCACACCCTGAGCCCTTCATTTCTGGTCTCACCCCAGAACCCACACCCCCAGTCCAGCCCATCTTCTGCGCCAATCCCCTCCTTCAGACTGGAGCCCCCTCACATACTCAACCCTTCAGCTCCACCCCTGAGCATGGAGTCCCTCCTGTACCACAAACCTATCCCAGAGCCTGCACCCCCTCTAGCATCCCAACCCCTTGCCTCAGCTTAGAGCCCCACTCTCCCACTCTCTAAACTCATTTCTGGCCGTACTCCAGGGCCTGCACCTGAAGCCCCTTGCTGCCCCTCAACCACCTAAGTCAGCCCAGTAAAAATAAGCCAGTGAATGAGGGCAGGGAGAGTAAGCAACAAAGGAGGATGGAATGAGTGGGAGGCAGGCAGGGCAAAGGTATTAGCTGTGTGCAGGGTAATAACTTTCTACTTGCACAAAGCCAAAGTGAATAATACTATTCTGCCTCCTGTGGCTTTTGTCATTTATTTGCATGTCTCTCTATTTTGCTGTGATCCAGGACCCGCATGTACTCAAGCAGAGTCAAAACATCTCCTTGGAAAACATCTTCTTCGGATATGCTAAGCAGGTACCTTGAATACAAAGCCAGGTGGAGCCGTAAAAGAAAAATTTCCCATCTTGCTATCACTCCATGTAGAAAAATGTCTTTGGAACTGTGGGTTTATCAACTCTTAAGTGGATCCCTTCAAAACAACATTGATTTGGCTGCCAAAATCCCCAGAAAAATGGGAGAGTGTGCTGGAATAGAATGGACGGCTCACTATATTAAAGGATGATTGTTTGAGTTTTATTTTAAACAAGCAATTAGCAATAATCCTTGGGTATTTTTTCCCCTCTGATCAGAACTATTTCCAGCTTGCACTTGCTGCACTTGGAAAGCAGACATCAGTCAGCATTTGAGTAATTGATTCCAGCTCTCTCTGAGCCAAGCTGTGTGTGTTCACAGGAGATGTTCTTAATGGTTTAATAAACTGTTATAAAAGAACTCCTTGACACAGTCAAGAGAAAAATCACTGCCAACAGCCTTCACACAATAGACCTCTCTCAGTTAATAGCTATATCAATGCATAAAGGTGAAAATGACACAAGCACTGGAGGGGCCGTGAGGGAGCCGTAGGGGCAGGGCAGGAAGATTTTACATCACTCACAAGTCCAGCAGCTAAGAGCTACAGCACCAATGTAGAGCAGAAGAGAAGGAACCCAACTCCCACTTGCTTGCACCAGTGCAAAAATGTGGTCTATAGGCAATGGATCAGCTCTTATGCTTTGTGGGCAACAAAGAGGGGGTGATAACCTCTAGAGATTGCTGAGAGCTGGCATGAGATAGAACAGACTTCAGGCTGCTCTTAACCTTTTTGGTGCCATGATGCCCAGCAGCTTCAGGCTTGCATGGCACACTGGTGGCTAAATAATGCCTTCCCTGCCTTCCTCCAGGCCTTCAGGCTTACAGTGAACACAGGTCAGCCAATTCAGAGGCACTGACCCTTTGGCACTAGGCATCAGCTATTTCTTTAGATGGCCCGACTTCTCCCAAATAAATAATCCACTACCCATTGAAATAAAAATAGTAAGACAGGCGGGATGGTTGTGTTGTTAAACCATAGCAAAGGGAGTCAGGACTCAAGCACTGACTTTCTATGCCACCTTAGCATCTCTCAGCCTGGGTTTCCCTAGAGGAGATGTCCCTCTGTACAATACTGGGGATAAGTATGACTGGACAGCATAAATTATGGGCCTAAAAAAGGGGGGGGGGGGGTGGTTTAGAGAATCAGTTGGTCTGATTCTGAGTTCATTCCAGATTTGCAGCTGTGTAACACTACGGCCATATGTGGAGTTACTCCGGATTCACAGTGGTGTAAGCACATGGAAAATAAGGAAAGGTGGGGAAAAAGGAAACCTGATGTGTATAGACTTATGTGCTTTGTTTTGCATTAGGACTCAGACATGAATGCTTCACAGCTGCAAAGGCTCCTCAATGAAGTGTTCCTGAAAGGTAAAGCTCTTGATGAGCCAGTTAATGGCGCTTTTCTACCCTAGTGTGAAGTAGATGGAGCCATAGATCTAGTGCTGATGGTTCTAGGAAAATGCTTAATATGATAGGTAGACTCTGATGAATTGAAAAAGCCTCCTCTGTGATCCCCTTTATGCTCAATTGTTATTAAAAAATTGATGAAGGAAGATGTAAAACAGCCTAGCTGGAATCCAGGTCAGCACGTAGCCTTGCCTACCACACCGCTGTCTGCATGCTCAGAGAGACTGCTGCATCTCAAGCTGCTGAACTTTGTTTGGCAGCCCTTGTGCCTCTAAGTGCTCCTTATTGGGACCAACAGCACCTTTTTTGCAGTTCTGGGTCCGGCCCCCCACAGCCTGTCCTGCAGAGTGCCTTGCTGGTCCAGGCCTAGATCACCACACAGCTCTTCTTCAGCCCCTACCCTTGAACTGTAGCACACCTGCTTTGGTAGGGGATCCAGTCACAGGGCCCCACACCACTCTCCAACCAGACCTGCAGCACCCTCTTTAGCCCAGTCCTCCCCTCTCACACAGTTCTGCTGTATCTGCTCAATGCTGACCTGCTACCCTCCCTAGTGGAAATGTAGTCCTGGCCCTGACCACTCCCCCTACCTCTCAAATATTGGGTGCAGTGTGTGACAGAGGCCAAAAAGGAGGGGGTCCAACAACAGCAAAGGAGAGAGATCCCCAAATGCATGTGGGACATAGTTACATTTGAGTCTCAGCTACGTGACAGACCTCAGAAGGGCTCCATTTGGCTTCTCCAGTGCACCTCAGATCTGATTTGCAGCATACTGGGGCAGGTCCTGTAGTGATATGGACCCCTAAGGGCTGGACAAGGATCCATCTACTCATCCTAACAGTGACCTGGAGGGAGCCGTGCTCTCTGGGGGTAGAGACCTAACCCAGGGCGGCTTTTGTTCTTTGCCTGATCTCTTTTGCTTTATCAATTCTTATAGATCAAACAGCCAGACCGGGCGGAGAATTCGGCTTTGATTCATGCAGAGGCATTTTAGCTCTGATGGATGTATCCTTTCAGCAAAGGCAATAATCACCTTCCCCCACCCCCGTCGCCCCGGCCCCATACAGCCCATGCTTTCCTTGAGCTATGGCTCAGCTGAGCCTCCCCCTGTGAGAGCTTGCAAATAAATATTGGCCACAAACATCAGTAAATCATTTCCCCATGGTGTATGCTCAGCTCAGCCTCCCCCTGTGAGAGCTTGCAAATAAATATTGGCCACAAACATCAGTAAATCATTTCCCCATGGTGTATGCAGGTCTTTGCCATGTACCCTCTCCCTGCAGGGGAAATCTGGAGTCAGGAGCTCTCTGCTGAAAGCTGGGTGCCACAGGCCCTTCCCTAGTTATTTTAAAACCTGTTCTATTAATTACACAGTCATCTTTTTCAGTGCGCTCCGGGCATTGTGGTTAACAAACATTGGCCCCAGTCCTGGACGTGCCACCCCGATTCCAGAGGATTATGTTAGGTTGAGCTATCCAGTGGCTCTTACTGAATCCCAACACTGCTTCTTCCCAGCCTTTTGCTCAGGCTGCTCAGCCTTGGCTTGCCTGTGAACTGGAAAGCCAAGCCCCCTGTGCTAAGTTTATTTCAAGAACAACGAAGAGGATCGGATTGCTGCTGGCCACTCCCGCCCTGGTTGATGGCAAGGGAAAGAAAGGCAATGTGTCACTGCTGAATCCCAGGCGCACGCCTGGCAAACTCTTCTTCCTTTGGTGTGTACCTCTTCTATTTAGATGGATGGCACAGGCCTCCAACTGTTAACAAGACAACGCTGGGAATGCATTGCTGGCCACTGTACAACAAGAGAGCTCCTTGATGAAAACATAAATTCTCCCCGCTGCATGCACTTGCGCTGTCTTTCTGTTCCGGGCCTTGGAATAACTCAGGGACAGTGCCAGATCATTACAGATTGCAGCAAATGAATAAAAATGACCCGCAGCCACTCTTTGCAGCTTTCCTGTCACGGAACCCCCTTGCAGTCTGAATGGACACAGAATGCAGGACACATGAAGGGTGCTGACACAACCACTTTTCCCATCCCAGTCCCATTTTTTTCAAGTTGGGTTTTTTCCCACCCATCCCCTCCACTGCCCACCCCGTATACAGCGTGACCTGTGCTAGCCTTTAAAGACAGGCACATTCTCTTTCAGCCAGGCTTGAGAGCAGCCCCACACACTTACTCTTATTTCATTGTCAGGGGCTCTGCTTTCACAGGGGTTCAGTAGTCATGGTGCTGAAAGGAGGTGGCCCCAAGCAAAGAACAGAGCCTTGTGGAGAGGCCGCTAATGGGAGGGAGGGGCCCAATGGGGGCAATTGCCATCTTTAAATTGCCAAGCAATGCTGAGGGCTGGCTAGGGGAGTTGCAGCATGGTCCATGTGGCGCTGAGGGCCTATCTACTGATGGGTAACATTAAAGCCAGCACAGGGGTGCCTCTCAGTGCCACAAGCAAGTTCAGTAGCAGTGTAGACATGCCCATACTCCAGCTGAGGATAATGTTCTATGCCCCCCACCCCCCCATGCAAGCAGCAGGGGCTCTAGACCACAGCATCTTTTGCTCCTCCCCAGAAATGGCTGCATTTCCATGGGGCCATGCATAAAATTGGCATGATAGCCTCATGAGCCTTTGCTCTGAAACCCTATGTAACTTTGCTGCTTGTTGATCCTCATTTATTGTTACTATAACACAGTAACAGCCTCACACACCCTGGCTCCGAGCAAGGAATTCCTTATACTTCTTTGCCTTCCCCATGGCAGTAGGATACCTTTAGCATGGCAATTTTCACATGGGGGGGGGAGGAATTTAGTGAGGCTAAGCCATTCCCAAAATTGCCTCCTGCTCCTAGGAAGTCCAAAATTAGCTGCTACTAACATTTAAGCCTTAACTACACCTGCAGCTCAAGTCTAATGGACGACTATCCCTGAAAGAATTTAAGCACCTCTGGAAACTGCTTGTTAAGTACAAGGTACACGTGAGCTGTCAGTAACCCATTTGCTCAGCAAGTGCTGAATTTTTAAATCCGTGGATGCAGCCACTATGAAATTAAAATATTGTGGGGGACAGACCACACCAACAGCTCTGAAGCTTAGCAGCTAAAATGTCTGCCTTATCATTCAGAAGTAGGGCACTCAAATATTGAATAGGAAGGTCTTATCAAGGTTTCTAATTGTTAAAAACAGGTCTGCCAAGGACTAAGTGCTCAAGGTGTTCTTATGGCAGCTACTAAGGAATAGGCTAGAGAAGGTGGTAGGTCCCAGTCCTGCACATATATACATAGGCGTAGTCCTACGGTTCAACGGCACTTTGGTTGCTCAAATGTAGAAGTGTATGTAGTATCAAGGCCCAATGAGGATGGTGGGTATCCTTGAAGAGTACAAGCACTTGGGGCCACAAATTGGTGACTCGGGCTATTATCCACCATGGGTTTCTGTGAAAAGCTATTGCCATAGTTCATGGCAGCCAGTCATGTTGCGCAGGATAATGCCATCAATGGAAAGTCTATTCTCCAAGGCAAATACAGGCTTTGGTTTTCTTCCCCACACGATGTAAACAACAGGGCTCCTCCCCCTCCCCCTCCCCACACACACACACACATTTCCCATAAGAAACTCTAGGGCAGAGTAAGGGACTCCAGAACTAGGACAGACTTTCTGGTACAGTCTGACTGTAAATTTAATCTATTGCACCTCATTAGATCTGTTTGGACTATAGAATTGTAGGACTGGAAGGAACATTGAGAGGTCCACAAGTCCAGTCCCCTGCACTTGTGGCAGGACCAAGCACCATCTAGATCATCCCTGACAGATGTTTGTCTAACCTGCTCTTAAAATATCTCCAGTGATGGAGATTCCACAACCTCCCTGGGCAATTTATTCCAGTGCTTAGCCACCCTGACAGCAAGTTTTTCTTATGTCCATCCTAAACCTCTCTTGCCGCAAGTTAAGCCCATTGCTTTTTGTCCTATCATCAGAGACTAAGGAGAACAGTTTTTCTCTCTCCTCCCTTGTAACAATACTTTTTGATACTTGAAAGCTTTTATAATGCTCGCTCTCCATCTTCTCTTTTTCTAAACAAACACTATTCTTTCAGCCTTCCCTTATAGGTCCTAAACAGCTGTTTTCCATGCTTGATATTTACATGCTACAAACATTTGGTGGGGATTGGGATCTCGCAAGATAGTTTTTGGCCAAGCTAAACATACTGGGAGCACAAACATTCAGTCAAGTCAATGGAGGGAGTCTTCCCACCCAGTGCTATAGAAAGAAGTTCTGCAACTACTCTTTTACTTGAGTCATTATGGGTGAGTTCTTTGTGCTGGCAGAGATACAGGCTCTTGTCTGAACAAGGAGAAGAATTCAAGGAAGATACATGAAAGGCCACCCCCAGAGCTAACATTCAAACCTGTTTGCCACTGAAGTGGAACTACAGGGCAGAGTTAGCAGAGGGTGATCACCACTCATGTTGGTCTCTCTTACCTTATCTCCATGCACTAGGCCAGGCCAATGCTCTGAAGGAGCATTAATGCCCATCTCTCACTACTCCCATCAGTGGGCCCTGCTCAGTCCAGGAGCAAGGATCTTCCAGCTGTTGTTTCTGGAAAATTGTCTTTTATGTTAGTCTCCCTATCAGATCCTGCACTGTTCCACCGTGCTAGTTCATTAGAGAAAAAGTGACATGCGTTGGCAAGTGGCCAATGTGCTCACTCAGAGCACAAGTTTGGGTCCCTGACGTTGTCTTAAAAGTAAGAAGCTAAATTCTGTCAAAATGGTTTCCAGGACATTTTCAGGATGGAGGAGAGAACGCATGCGGGATTCCTTGACGTGTCAGATTTCAGGAATGCAGTACAGAGAGCAGGTACGTCCGGCTGTGCTGTGAGGGGCCTGTTGGAAAGTTGAGGGCGGGGAAGGAAGGAATAGAAAAGAGCAGCAGTATTGTATGGGAGAGCTAGTGAGATCCTGCTCCTGGCACAATTTGCAAGTAATGCATGTCAAATAGACCAAACAATCACTGTCCATTCCCTGTGTAACCCAGCCAAAGAGAATGGTTCAAGATGAAACCATTTCCCCTATGACTGGTCTTGCTTGGGTGGGTGCTGATGATGGATATTAGCCAAGAGTTGGGCAGGCCAATAAAGCTCCCAAAGAAAGAGTGAATTCCCATCTCGCTCCAAGAGGTTCTCTCTTTCCTGATCAGGGATGAAGCAAGGAGAAAGGAGCAAGGAAGTTTGAACAGCCACTGCCCTGCACCTATCCTAGCTCATTTATTCTCTCTCCAGGGCTATGACTGATTTCATAGGAGAAAGCTACATGGAAATACTTTTATTTAGTTTGCACTGACCTCTGCTGGCTAGACCAGGGCTGTAATTTTAAGCACGCAATCCAGTTTCGGTGGCATGATCGAATTTGTATGCACTAGGATATCCCAGAGGAAGTTCCTGCCCAACAAATCTGCATTAGAGATGCTTCCATTTAGCTAAATGGCTTCTTAAGTTGCATTAGCCAGTATAATATAATTTTTCCCTGATGAGGAACTCAAGGCAAAACCTAATCAATGGAAGCCCCAAGTCGGCCTTTTTTGCTCCCCCATAAAAGGAAGATATAACATGGCCTCAAGAGACTCAAATTCCTGATGTGTCACTGGAATGTAGCAAGAGGTTCTGAGTGCAGGGATCACAAATGTACCACTAATGTACCAAATAATCTATAGGGTTGATATTGCAATAAAGGCACGACTGTCTAAAATACAGAGGAAGGTTATGCCCATGCCGATACTGATTGGATAAAGAGGAAATATTAGGGAAATTCAGTGTGTTGTATTTGCAAGGCAGTTTTTGAAGGGGAGACATCCCCACCTTGTCTCCTCCTATGCCATACAAACTAGGCTTGATTCTATTTTTCTCCAAGAAAACACTTCTCTAGCCCCCTGCCTGGGCTTTTCTTACTGGGAGAATACTAGGACCCAGGAATAGCAAACAAAGGCCAAATGAACCCCAAGAATGCTACTAAACACAGGTCCTGGTTAAGCACATGTTCAAACTGGAGGCCATCACTGTTCAGCAAAGCAAGAGCTTAATCTGAATTGAGGCCTGACTACTTAGATAAAAGGCCAGTTCCCCAGCTAGTGTAAACCAGCACAGCTCCATTGGCTTCAGTGTGGTTCTGCACCAGATAAGGAACTGGCCCCATCTCATTGGAAGCATCAACCTGATGAAGTGCTTTGAACGCTCAATGTTGTAATCATTTCCAACGAGTTAAAATGAAAAGCCAGACTCTTGAAACTTTAACAAACCCAGCCAACAGGATCTGAGCCCAAAGGATAACGGTAGAGGGGGAAGGCAGCCCTTCTAGGACCAGCATGTGACTAAACTCATACATGCCTTTGCAATTAAAAGGTTCAGGGTATTTTGAAGGATGGGGAAGAGATTGACCGAGCTGGATTTCAGGGGCACGTACATGGCATACCCCAGGACTGTCCACTCCAAACTCCTGACCACTTACTGGTTTCAGATGTTGTGGTGAGATCTGCAGAAAGTGCCTGGAGTCTTGAGTGTAGATTTTAACAAGTCTAGGCTCCAAGAGATCCTGAGCATAGCTGGGTCCTGTGCTTCCAAGGCTTTTGTCTCGTCAGCGCATGCTATACATATCCACCGCCTGCATTGGATTAACAAAGCAGGTGGAATTAGTTGCTTTACTATGGGGATTCTTGCTCAGACCTACAAAGTTCGGGTTATTTCCCAACCTGAAGCTGGGAAGGAATTCTGACTGGATTTTGTTTGAGAGGGACGTCAGGGAGGGAGTTACCATCACAAGGGGCATTAAGCAGGAATAGGTCACCCGGGAGGTGTATAAACTGAACATTCATAACTGCCCTAGTTCCCTGTCAATTCAGAGGATGGCTGCATTTTGCTTCCTCCTCTTGCTACCGTGTTGACTGCCCTTTGTGCCTTTTTGTTCATAGGCCTGGCTGTCAATGACCAGCTCTTCCATCTGATGGCTCTGAGGTACAGTGACTCCTCCATGAGAGTTTCCTTCCCTGATTTTGCATGCTGCATGATCCGGTTTGAAACTATGGCAAGTAAGTTGTGCTCCTGGCTAGGTAGGGGTCTGCGAGGGTCTCAGAACATGGGCTTACGCTGCAGCAGCCAATATTACAACAGGGATGGGCAAATGCCAGCTGATCCAATCTATCAGGGTATGCCCCTGGTAGGCCCCCACATCACCATACTTACATGCATCTCCACGGGTGCGGAGGATCACAGCTCCTATTGGACACAGATTGCCATTCCTGGCCAATGGGAGCTGAGATTGCCCATATCTGTGGAGGTGCAGTTAAATATAGAGGCAGAGGCCCACCAGGAGCTAACCCTTGTGAACCGCAACTGTTTTACTGACCTTCCCTGTATTACAATATCCTTAGTGCTACAGATTAAGGACAAAGCAACCTAATGGCCCATCGGGAATTAGGTGTCCTTGTTGGAGACACACAGAACCAGAGAGAGATGCCCATTTATAGTGAATGTGTAAAAAGAACAAACGTGCTACAACACAGGAGTTGGACTAGGTCAGTGTCCCTCTGCCTTTTGGGTACTTTAAACATCAATTTATCAGAGCCAGGATCAGATTCTCTAAAGGACAACTGCTTCTGTGAGCGAGAGAGTCCGTGCTGGGAGACAGCACCTAGCTGGATTGCTGAGGCTGCTATACTTTGGAGACAATGCCAGAAAAGAACATGCTTTCTAAGCACGCTCCATCGGAGCCCCATTGGCAAACACGGCACAAGTCATTGTGTGGCTTCAGCACTCTGGATCAGTGCTGCCCCAGCAGGCTCTGGGCCCTTAGTGGAGTGGAGAAGGAGTACAACACACACTGCTGTCTCTTTCTCCCACCCCGCTGGACTTCCCATTGCTGAGGGCATGCAGCCTGGGCCCTGTGGCCTTGTACTGGGGGAACCCCTGAAATAAATTGGACCTTAAGGCTTTGATTGTCCTAGTCAGCATCTGCCCCCTCTAACCAGTGTTGCGCGCTATAGCCTGCAACAGAACTTGGGCTGAAGGGATTTGGAGAAACTCAAACTCTGTAGAGGGGAGGCGCACGTACAACAGCATGAGAGGTGGGAAGGGAAGGGGCACCCAACACCAGCAAAAGGGGCTTGTCATTAAGGTTAGGAGGAGCCCTGAGCACCAGCCACAAGCCTGAACTGCAGCTACTAAAGACCTGTTCTATGGGAGAATGCAAGCAGTTCCCATTGACTCCAGTGGGAGTTATGTGAAGCCTCTCCCAGCTCAACTGGTGTCCTGGGTCAGGATCCTCACAGTTAAATATACACCTCAGACCTATTGAGGCTCAATGGGCCATACCCTCTATATACTTTTGAGCATCTGGGCTCTGGTGATACGGAACAGCGATTGGACACCTAGTGACACCTTATGATGCTTTCAGGCACCATTTTAAGGCTGGAGAATAGAATCAGCTCAGAGCTGAGAATCTCCCATTTTAATCCTTAATGAAAGCATGTATGCACTGGAACAACGACTTTAGAAACTCAACATTCCCAAGACAATTACCATCCTTCATTGTGGATAGAATCTCTTATGGCTACAAGTGCATTCATTTTTGCATTTTTAAAGTGGTTTCAGAAAAGCTTCTTGAACAGTCAGTGCTGGTATAAAGACCCTTCAATCCATTTTGGAAGGCTTTGCTAAAAGTTCCACTGGTATCTGTAAGAAGTATCTGAAAATGCACTCGAGTCTTTCCATTATTATTTTCCAGAAAGTTTAATACAATTTTTTCAAACCAGAAGAATATAACTGGGCCAACTGGAATAAGAAACACTCCATCTTCATGATATGAATGTGGAAGGGAAGATAAAATTTGACCCATTTCATTGTTACTCATACTGTCAAGATAACCAGAGTGATAAGACCTAAACAAAAGCAGCTTCTACTTTCAAACCCTACTTAAATGGTACTAGAGAAGGCACTAGTGACTCATTTTTGCCTAAAATAGAAAACAGTAACGCTACTAGGTGGATAAATAGGCCGGATCTACATTGCTACAACCATGTCAGGGAACCAGTTTACCGCATACTTATACCCTTCGCCTACCCTAGGTGTTGTAACTTGCTGCACCCAGTCTCAGCGCTGCTCAGGTTTGGCCCAGCTGCCCCTCTGTCATGATGATAGAGACAGGATAGGCCAAGTTCGAAGGAGCAGTACTTCAGCCTCAGAAAAACCAGCCCCAGCCAGTCCCCTAGGGCAGGATCAGGGTCTCCAGGCATCTGGCTTTTGATCTGAATGCCCAGTTGAAAAGGGATCCTGGCAGCTCCAGTTGGCACTGCTGCCTGGACCATTACAATGTCCAGTGGGTGGCCCTGCAGGCTCAAGGGCAGCAAACGGAACTTTCCTGGGTGGCCCTTCATGTGCCTAGGGGCTGCAGGAGCCTGGTGGCTGCTTATTGAGAGCCATGGTAAGAGCTTCTGGGACCTTGCATCCCAAACCCTTTACTATACCCCCAATCTCCTGCCCCAGCCCAGAGTCCCCTCCTGCACCCAAGCCTAGAGCCCCTTCTTGTATCCCAAGTCCCTCATCCCCTCCCACACCGCAGCCCTCTTCCCCCAACACTGTGAAAGTGAGTGTGGGTGAGGGAGAGCAAGTGATGGAGGGAGGGGAAAGGAGGGTTGGGAGGCATCAGAGAAGGGGTGGCACAGAAAGTTGGCAACCCCAGCCAGGAGCCCCCACTCAGGTATGAAGAGTTTACTTATTTAGTACTAGAAGATTTATCCCGCATTGCTCAAGTCCTTAACTCAAATAATTTTTCTTTTTTGGAAAATAAAATGTAAATGCTGGATTTAAATTGTTGTTCTGGTGTGGGGCTGGGGATGAGGGGTTCAGTACGCAGGCTGCCTGGGAGAGAGAGAGGACTAATCCAGCTACAGCTCCAGAAGGCACAGGCAGGGGAGGGATGCATGTCACCCAGCTAAGGCAATTCCAGGTTCATCTGCCTTCTGTGCTCCCCAGCCAGAGTGAGGAATGCAACACACTGCACTTTGCCCATGCTCTCTGATGAAGGGGAACAGCCAGCAATATTCCCATACAAATAGGGGAGGGAGCATCAACACCCCTCCCTGTCACTCTCCTTAAAGGAGGGGCTGAGGGAAGTCCCAGACAGTGGGGGAAATGCCTCCAGCAGCCCCATTTCACCTGCCTGGTGATTCTGTCTCTTTTCTGTATGATTTTAGGAGAAGAATCCCATTCCAGGCACATCCCATTTTGCTGGCACAACCAACTCCTCACTTTGTTTAAGTGATAAGAGGAAGCTGCGTACCAAATTTGGTGGTTTAAGAGGAGTTCTTGAACAGGCAGACACACAGACAAACCCTCAAATATATAATAGACTTTTAACATTCATGTATATTACATATGGCAGGTATTAAATATTTAGAAAGCCGGGGCCCAAAAAAGGTTGAGAGCCACTGGACTAGATGACCTTTTGTGGTCCTTTCTAACTGTATCTTTCTATGGTCTTGGAACTTCCAACCAGCTTTGAGCTTTGCGACGGTCAAAGATGTTTTGACTAGATCTGGGCGGGAATCAGACATGTCGTAGGAAATTCCAGGGTTTCAAAGTTTGTTCAGATTCAATATGGAAACAAACTGGCAAATATTTTTAAAAAAAATCACAAAATAATTTTTCAGGTCAACTGAAATGTTCTACTTCAACTTCAATACACAATAAAGTTTAGAATCATAAAGCTGGAAGAGACCTCAGAAAGTCATCAAGTCCAGACCCCTGGACCAATCCCAAATAAATCAACCCAGCCAGGGCTTTGTCAAGCCAAGACAAATACTGGTAGGGATGGAGACTCCACTACTTCCCTAAGTAACCCATTTCAGTGCTTCACCACTCTCCTAGTGAAATAGTTTTTCCTAATATCCAACCTGGACTTCTCCCACCACAACTTGAGACCATTGCTCCTTGTTCTGCCATCTGTCACTACTGAGATCAGCCTTTCTCCCACTGCTTTGGAACCTCCCTTCAGGAAGTTGAAGGCTGCTATCAAATCCCCCCTCACTCTTCGCTTCTGCAGACTAAACAGACCCAACTCCCTCAGCCTCTCCTCATAGGTCATGTGCTCCAGTCCCCTAATCATTTTGGTTGCCCTCCGCTGGACCCTCTCCAATGCATCCATGTCCTTTTGTAGTGGGGGGGCCCAGAACTAGACACAATACTCCAGATGGGGCCTCACCAGAGCTGAATAAAGGGGAACAATGACATCTCTGGATCTGCTGGCAATGCTCCTCCTAATGCAGCCTAATATGTCATTAGCCTCCTTGGCTACAAGGGCACATTGTTGACTCATATCCAGCTTCTCATCCACTGTAACCCCCAGGGCCTTTTCTGCAGAACTACTACTTAGCCGGTTGGTCCCCAGCCTGTAACAATGCTTGGGATTCTGCCGTCCCAAGTGCAGGACTCTGCACTTGTCCTTGTTGAACCTCATCAGATTTCTTGTGGCCCAATCCTCCAGTTTCTCTAAGTCACTCTGGACCCTATCTCTGCCCTCAAGTGTATCTACCTCTCCCCCTAGCTTAGTGTCATCCGCAAACTTGCTGAGGGTGCAATCCATCCCCTCATCCAGGTCATTAATAAAGATATTGAACAAAACCGGTCCTAGAACTGAACCTTGGGGCACTCCACTAGAAACCAATCACCATCCTGACATCGAGCCATTAATCACTACCCGCTGGGCCCGGCCTTCTAGCCAGCTTTCTATCCATCTTACCGTCCATTTATCCAATCCACATTCCCTTAACTTGCTGGCAAGAATATTGTGGGAGACCGTATCAAAAGCCTTGCTAAAGTCAAGGTATTTCACATCCACTGACTTTCCCATGTCCATGGAGCCAGTTACCTCATCATAGAAGCTAATCAGAGTGGTCAGGCACGACTTGCCCTTCATGAATCCAAGTTAACCATTCCTGATCACTTTCCTCTCTTCCAAGTGCCTCAAAATGGATTCCTTAAGGATCCCTTCCATGATTTTTTCCAGAAACCTAAGTAAGACTGACTGGCCTATAGTTCCCTGGATCGTCCTTCTTCCCTTTTTTGAAGATGGGCACTACATTTGCCTTTTTCCAATCATCCGGGATTTCTCCCGATCTTCACGACTTTTCAAAGATAATGGCCAAAGGCTCCTCAATGACATTTGCCAACTCCCTCAGTACCCTCGGATTCATTAAGTCCGGACCCATGGATTTGTGTACGTTTAGCTTTTCTAAATAGTTCCTAACCTGTTCTTTACCCACCAAGGGCTGTCTATCTTCATCCGATCTTGCGTCACTTAGCACATTAGTCCAGGAGCTGACCTTGTCCGTGAACACAGAGGCAAAGAAAGCATTGAGTGCTTCAGCTTTCCCCCAATCATCTGTCATTAGGTTACCTCCTTCATCCGGTATGGGCCCCTCACCCGCTCTGATCACCTTCTTCTTGTTAACATGCCTGTAGAAACCTTTCTTGTTATCCTTCACATCCTTAGCCAGTCGCAATTCCATTTGTGCTTTCACCTTCCTGATAACCCCCCGGCATTCTCGAGCTATACCTTTAAACTCCTCCCTGGTCATTTGTCCAAGTTTCCACTTTTTGTAAGCTTCCTTTTTGTGCTTAAGTTCAGTCTCCTACCATGTTTGCCTCTCTTGCTATGCGTAGGGATGGTTTCTTTCTGAGCCTTCAGTAAGGCTTCTTTAAAATACTGCCAGTTGTCCTGGACTCCTTTCCCCTTCATGTTAGCAACCCAGGGGATTCTGCCCATCAGGTCTCTGAGTGAGTCAAAATCTGCTTTTCTGAAGTCCAAGGTGTGTATTTTACTACTCTCTTTTCTTCCTTTGGTCAGGATCCTGAAATCTACCATCTCATGATCACTGCTTCCAAGGTTGTCACCCACCTCTACTTCCCCTATTAGTTCATCCCTGTTTGTGAGCAGAAGGTCAAACTGCGCACGGCCCCTGGTCATTTCAAAATGAACAACCAGTATTGCCTTTCAGCCTTATAGAAAGGCTGCCTTTTGATCTTTTTCTCAAAACAAAATTTCACCAACAACATATTCCCATGAAACAATTAGATTTTGATGAATCAACATTTTCCTACAACCAAATGTTTTGTGGAAAAGTTTTGATCACCTTTAGTTTGACAACTACGTGTATACAGACAGCCCCTGCAGTTACTAGTTGATGAGACTAGTGATAGAAATGTAGCCGTGTTAGTCTGGTGTAGCTGAAACAAAATACAGGCCTATGTAGCACTTTAAAGACTAACAAGATGGTTTATTAGATGATGAGCTTTCGTGGGCCAGACCCACTTCCTCAGATCAAAAAAAAAAATTTTTTTATTTTTTTTTTTATCTGAAGAGGTGGGTCTGGCCCACGAAAGCTCATCATCTAATAAACCATCTTGTTAGTCTTTAAAGTGCTACATAGAACTGTATTTTGTTTTAGTTGATGAGAAGTTTGCAAGATTAGCTAGGAGCCCCTATTCAGGTATGGAGAGGTATGAGTTGCTTTCGGGAACACAGTGATCACCAGGTGCTAATGAATAGGCAAGGAGAATGGGGGAAAACCTTCTCTTTCATCACACAGGGAGTTGTATTATGTAGATGTCACAATTAGTGTATCTAAATAGCAAATGAGAAATATCAGCACAGTATAGGCACCTATATAAGACACAGCCCCAAATATCAGAACATCCAGTCTTCCTATTTGCACCTCCCAGTGAATGTTCAGGCATTAGCTAATGTGGGAAACCGAACACTCAGCTAAGTAAAACTAGACTGTTCCACAAGGGAAACAACTTTGTTCTTATGTGTTACAAGTTCCTCCCACCGCTCCTCCTATTGAAGTGAGGCTGTCTTTGTTCTCCCCAGGTGTATTTCGTAATTTATCAAAGGATGGAAAGATTTCCTTTTCTGCAACAGAGGTGAGCAACTCTCATTGTGTTTGTGCCCTTTGCTACCTTCAGGGATTCTTGTTCTCTTCAGAGCCTACATGGAATCCTTAATAGAGCCTTCAGAAAAGCTAACACAAAGGGGCTGTGTCTAGACTGCATCCTTTTTCCGTAAAAGGGATGCAAATTAGACACATCACAATTGCAAATGAAGCGGGGATTTAAATCCCCCCCTCTTCATTTGCATAAACATGGCTGCCGCTTTTTTCCAGCTCGGAGCTTTGCCGGAAAAAAGCGCCAGTCTAGACGGGGATCTTTCGGAAAATAAAGCCTTTTCTGAAAGATCCCTTAGTCCTCTTAAAAAAAGCAATTGCGATGTGTCTAATTTGCGTCCCTTTTATGGAAAAGGGATGCAGTCTAGACACAGCTGGGGTGTGATAAACCTTCTTCCCAGTGGTAACTGTACGGTAAGGGGGAAATCCTGGCCCCTTTGAAAGTTCATGGCAAGTCTCCCATTGGCTGCAGTGGAGCCAGGGTTTCACTCTACAGCTGTATCTTAGGCTACATCTACACTACACCCCTCTGTCAGCAGAGGAATGTAAATGAAGCACTTTGAAAGTGCAAATGAAGTGGGGATTTAAATATCCCACGCTTCATTTGCATAATCACATCATGGCACTGTTTCGAACAAGCCGTGTCAAAAGTGAAATCTCTGCCAACAGAGGGGCGCAGTGTAGACACGGCCTTACAGTGCACTTCTAGGTGTGGCAGTAGCACGTAGACATACATGAGCTAAGCTTTGATCTAGCTAACTTGCGTACCATCAATAGTGAAGCCACAGCAGCATGGGCTAGAACAGGGGTGGGCAATCATTTTCGCAGCAGGGGCCACTTAATGAATTTTAGTATGTGGTCAGCTCCACCCCCTGGAAGGGGCCGTGCCTAGAGCTGGGATAGGGACTGGCCTCACCCCAGTGTTGTCTAGGGGCCAGAAGCTTTGAAGTAAAAACACAGCAAAAGGCTTGCAGCTCCCAGCCCTGCCACTGCCAGGCTGCCTGGCAGCCACTCAGGATTGCTGAGGCGATTTCATGGGCTCACGGCCATGGCTCCTGCTGGAGCAGCACCGTGACTGGGAGCCGGGAGCCATTTAAGGATCCTGCTGCCTGAGCCACTGCCTGGAAATTCAGTGGCATGGGCAGCAGGATATAAATAGAAAGCAGCCAGATGCAGTCAGCAGGCTGGATCAAAGTGTTAGGCGGATTGGATCTGATCCATCTTGTCCAGCCCTGGGCTACAGGTACGTACTTGGGGCTCTAGGCAGCCCCTGCTGAAGTGCGTGTGGCCATGGCTTCACTGCAATTGGTACCTGAGCTTCAGTCAGATGTGTGATTGCGATGCTGGCACACACTAGATTAAAGCACACGTGAGACTTACGTGGCAACTCCCTGCTTCCTGACACCCCCGATCTTTCTTCCTACAGCAGAAACAGCACAGCTCTATTAACTTAAATGGAGCTGGGCAGACTAACAGCTGTGGGTCTGGCCTTATATCTATAGTGGTTTCCCCTCTCCCGGAGACCAGTCTGTCATGGATGCAACTCCAGTGGGGTTACATGGGGTTCCCCATGCAGTCAAGGCATGCCCTCTTTTCCCAGTGTTCATCGGTTATCACAGAAGCATGACAGTGACTGGGTTTAAAGAAAGAAACAGACGACAAATGGGCACCTTTGCTCTTTAAAGCCCAGTAGCTTGCTGATGTGGGCTGTATCAAATAGGGAAGTTAACTAGCAGTTAATTGACTAACCAAGTGGATGGAATTTCCATTGACTACTAGATTAGCTGAAGGGGGGGGGGTGCTCCCACTGCAGCCCTGCACTTTAAAACCCCATTGGCCTCTTACTATGTTTAAAGTGCAGAGCTGCAGCGTCCCGGGGGCCGTACATGCTGGGACCATTCAGTCCGGTGGGCTCTTAGTTCATTTAAAGTGCATAGGTGCAGCAGAGTTAGCTCCTGGGGGCAGCACAAGCTGGGACTGAACCAGTTCTGGCTCGTGCTGCCCCCTGGGACCTTTTGGCTCTGCCTCCCCTGCCCCCCACCCTGCACTGTGGAGACAGTGCTGGGGGGAGCCAACTTTTAAGCCAGCTCCTACCAGCACCAGCTCCTGCTTCCCCCACCTTGCTGCCTCTGATACAGAAGCAGTGACGGATGGGAGGAGACAGTAAGTAGTTGAGTAGTTACTCAACTACCTGATAAGCTTATGCTTATCGGGTAGTCAGCTACTCAACTAGTTGCTTACACCCCTAGTGTCACACTTACCTCATCTTAAAAGTACCGTCATATGCTACATAATGATCCAGAACACTCCAACTTCCCAGAGCTTTTGGAATGATTACTGTAATATTTTTTTATGAAGTTGCCCAAATCTCATTTGGACTGTTCCCTAAAAGCCACTTGGCACCAATTTAGGTAGCTCAGTAGCATGGCTCTGAGTTCATTACATCTTCCCTGCACAGTACAAATGACTAATAAGAGTGCCTCAGCAGGGGTTCACTGTGTGGGCTGCAAGATGATCACATGTTAGAGACTATGTATGCTCTCATTACCAATCGCACAGACACCTCCCCTTCCACTTGTCATCACCCCCCATCCTCAGCAATTACTGACATAGAAGAGTAACATTAGGAAAGTGTTTAGTGCAATTTAGCAGCCGGAAACAAGGAAAATGTGCCAACACTGTGCTACCAACCTCTTTCCCGTAGACCACGGCATGAGAATTGCTGTACTCTGGTATTTAAGTGCTAAGTTATTTATGCATCTGCTACTTTGATTTACGGTAACTATATAAATGCTTTTTCTTCATTCTCCCAGTGGATGATTATTACCATGTATTGCTAAGATGGCGATATGGGCCTACATTGCTGGTAAGGAGTCACCTCCATCCTGTCCAAATACTGAGGAGAAATGTTCCTTGGGTGCCGTGACACTCCCATTCTAAAACACGGTCAAACAGCCGCACCCACCCGCAGTGGGACACAGGGGCTGTGACCATAGGCAATAGGTAAGAGGCAAAACAGGCAGCAGTCTGGGCTAATGTTTAGATAAAAGGGACTAGGAAGAAGCAGAAGGCCCCTGAGTTCTTGTTGCAGCTGAGCTACTGACTCGCTGTATGACCTCTGTCACTTGACTTCTTTATCAACCCAGCTGGAAAGTTGAGTTAAAAAAACTTTGCTGCAACCCAGAAGCTGCATCTGATATGGAATTATAACCCCCCAAAAATCTGATGTTTAAAAAGAAACTGTGATGAGATTCCTCCTGCCTCTCTCTCTTACTGGAGGCAGTTAGGATATGCACACAGTGTACTTTGAGCTCAGGACCTTCATGTATTTGCCACTTGGTTTTTGTCTGTGTTTGCTGCTAAGGACTCGGAACTATGGCTTACATGGGCCTTAGCTTGTGCTATTGTGTTCAGGGTGCACAGTTCATCCAGACATTTACCCATGGAGGAGTGCTGTGTCCTACCAGTGTGGGTCCTGATGCTGCTTGTTGCTGAACAGTTTTTACATGTTCACAGTTATATCATAGGCATATATCCCATGTAGTGATTACTGCAGGCAATGGGAATTGAGGGCACCTTGCAGGAATAGATCCTGGGCTTGCACTTTATTAAAGGCCACACTTCCAAACAAAGAGCTACAGGGTGCACAGTGGGCCAAGTTCTGCCCAGCAGCCTCTGCAAGCAGCCACACAGAACTGAGGCTTGGATGGTTCCTAAGCACAACCTGCCCCACCCCTCACCAGCTCTCCTGTTAGCACAGATGGAAGATCTGTGTGGCAGAGATTCAGCTACTGCCTCTGCTGGCCATGCCAGATCCTCTCCTTTCCCCTGTATAGGGAACGCACATGGAGCAGGGCTCTGTGCTCCTTGTTGAAGAGCAGAACCACACCAATCACAGAAGAGGTGGTTCAAATTATTGCCTCTTACTGTTAGTTGGCATGTGCCAAGCCCCGGTCTGCACATTCACATGGGCACTTCTATACAAAATCAACTCAAAGGTGGATGTGTAGAGCATGTATTGGCCTGCGCCAGCCTGTTAGAACATCTGGCCTTTCTAAGTTTCCTGGATGACAGCCCCAGCTGAGGCACCAGCCCTCGGCTGGAACATGATGTCTTGATGCAATGAAGCTGCACTCTGGTGATATTCACATAGCAAGAGGATGGCGTTTTCGTACAGCTTGAATACATTGCATCACAACATAGCCTCATGTAACCATCACGCCAGTATAATATGAGGACCTTGTCTTGGGGGAATTAAGTTGGTTATCAATTACAATTGATGTGCCAAGTTACTCTTTGCTATCCATGAATCATTCATCAACTGATCTCAACCCTTGAAAATATCATTAATTAAAATTTTCACCTAATATGGTGAATGAAATTCCACTTATGGGATTTTCATGAACTGTTCTCTTTGGTGACTCATAGCATATGACTGGTCACGTAGGTTATGTGCGTGCGCGCGCGCGCACACACACACACACACACACACACACACACACACACACACTCTCTCTCTCTCTTCTGATCCTCACTTAGAGTGAACTGTTTAAGCCCCAGAGAGGAACCAATATTGAGCTAAGGCTGCAGGCTAATGCACTGCAAAGTGCTGGCATTTGTGTCACTATGGGAATTTGTGAACATGTGCTCAGATCCCTACTTGTCATCCCATGCCTTGTAACCACCACACAGGATGCCACAGAACATAGCAAATGGCACTGAGCATGCTGTCTTGTAAAAATGGTCACGGATGGTTTGCTGTATTATGGTTACATAAGGAGCCCCCAGTCATGAGTGGGCCCCTACCCTGCTTTGTAGTGCTGTACAATTTAACCTGAGTGCCAGTTGGAGAGGACAGTCTGTATGTAGCCAGCTATGCTGAGAGAAAAGTTTAAAGCTGAGGGTTCCCACAACACATTGTTGGTGGCTTCAGCATGTGACCCTCACCCCCAATGCTTGCTTGTGGCCAAACTGACACTTTGTCCTAAAATCCTTGATTAAGAAAAACAAAGAACTATACACGGCCAAATCACTGCCATATATTCAGTCCTTTTTGTAGCCTCAATGAAACTATTGTACAGTTGTCTCTATCCTTTATAGACCTAAACAGAATAGAAACACAGATAAGGTGCTTTACTTTGCATGTTTTTGTCTTTTGTTGTTTCTTTTGCTTTGTTGGGTGCTTTTTTTAAAAAAAAAAAAAAAAAAAAAAAAAAAAAGACTTCCGAGCTAGCAAGTCTGTTGCTGTGAGACGTGATATTAACACAGATGCAAGTATCATGTTTCACAGCAACAAACTTATTCAGCCCTGGCAAGCCTGGGGAGAAATTAAGCCCTTACTGAGTAGTGAAGCAGCAAGGGATGGAGTGTGTGTTGGGGGGGATGGCGCCCTAGGGCCTGAGTCTACTGCCTACTAACCAAGAGCTGAAGCCCAACCCCACTGTCCCCAGGTAAATGGGAAACTCACTAGCTGCCTACTCTTCCAGCATGTGTCTATCCAGAGTGGGACAGGGTCCATCCCCTGCTGAGGACCCCGGGAAGGGGCCACTGCTTTACTCGCCCTCCCCCGTCACTTCCCAGAAGTCTGTGGCCTCAGGAAAAGGCCCCGATGAACACATCTGAGATAAGCTGGTTTAGAGACACCCCGTGGATGACCATGGGAGAAGAGAATGGTGCCTAAGTGCCACAGAAATTGAAAGGTGATTCTGAGTGTGATTCTTGTGCGCGTGTTTTCTCAGCAGGCTTTGCTGTATTGCAATGCTCTATGAAGGGGAGACAAATAGAACTATGGGGTTTTTTAATTGTTTTCATAAGGCTTAAGAAATTACCCTCTGGCTGCCTATGTCCTCTAAGAGGCCTTTCCTCCCCACTCTGCGCAGCTTATATGCTTCTTGATGCGATGAAGCCTAAGTGCCTTTCATACAAGAATAAACGTGGCATTCAGCAAGCCAAGCAGTGCTGGTTGATGAGCTGGGATTTCTTGGACCAATAACACATGGCTACCGGTATTTGTGTTTCTGGACAAGGACTCCTCCTTTGGCAAGCTGGACTTCATCTGAAGAAGTAGGGAAGCCCATGGAAGAAGACAATAAAGCCTTAGGAAGAATAGATTTGCTCCCATTTTATTCCTGTATAAGGGATGTTTGGAAGTATTGTCTGTGAGCGATCTCCCAGCCTCATGCAGAACAGCATTCCTGATCAGCCTCACAAGCTGGCGTAAATCAGGATTAACTCCATGTACACTACTGTAAAGCAATTATAAATAATTACTGACTCAGGTCCTATATTTTTAAAGAGAGTTCCTGGATTAATATGTTTGTGTATAAGCAGAATATTACTGGATCTTTGTTATACTTTTGCTGTGAGGAAATGCAAAATAAAAACAGGACTTTTAAAAAAAATGAGTTTCTTTAAATACGTTTAAGTGTCCAAAATGATCAGAATGGAGCAGTATTTGTTGCCAAAACAAAAAGGCAGGTTGGAAATAGTCAACAACATTGAACCCCCTTTCAGGGCAAATTCAGTCAGGACTGGTAGCAGGCCCCTCACTTAGAACTTCTAAACATGAGACTGGACATTAGGAAATTGACGACAGGTAGCAATCTTGCTTGGATAATCCAATCGACCTTTTCCACAAAGTGCATCACACTGGAAAGGGAAGAATTTATTTGAATTCCATTCTCTCTCTAACCTGACATCGGAAAACATGGGAACTAGTTTTTCTTCTAAATCCCTTTAGCCGTGGTTCCCAGCCAATGGGAGCTGTGGAATCAGTGCTTACGGTGAGGGCAGCATGTGGAGGTCCCCCCTGTCCAAGGACTTCAGGGATGTGCCAGCTACTTCCAGTAAAGATGCAGGCCCAGGGCAGGCAGGGAACCTACTTTAGCCCCCACTGTGCCTCTGGACATTTAGCTGTTTGAGATCTCCTGCACTGGCTACAGCAGCTTCTAGGAGATTAAGCTTGAGGACTCCTGGCAAAACCAGGAAGGTGGGCAACTCTGCTAAGGATGCAGCCAAATACCTCATGTGATTTTCAAAAACACCTAAGCAGGTTAGGGACTCAGGCTGTGAAAGCCCAGACGAAGGTGCCACTGAGAGCCACAGAACTACAACCAGTGCTTACTGTGAAAGAGGGGCCAGGACTCAAGCAACTTTTTTACATTCATAAAGGACATGGCACACAAGCCCAGAGGTACCAAGGCTATGAATTGCCTGGAAGTGCCGGAGCTCAGCCCTGACACAAACTAAGCACCAGCAGCCACCAACTCCTGTATGTGCCTAAATTAACACAGTGCCTGGATACGTGCAGGAAACATTCCGTAGCCACCTATCTTTCTACCTTTGAACATGTCGTCTCAGGCAAGCATCTGCACATCTATCTCCTGCCTAACATCCGTTATTCCAAAATAACGCTGCTGGGTAGACATAGCCTAGATTTGCTGGCAATGCTCCTCCTAATGCCATTTTCCTTCTTGGCTACAAGGGCACACTGTTGACTCATATTCAGCTTCTCATCCACTGTAACCCCCAGGTCCTTTTCTGCCAAACTGCTGCTTAGCCAGTCAGTCCCCAGCCTGTAACAGTTATTTCAAAATAATTTCCCAGTGTAGACATGCCCTTAGTCTCTAAGGGTATGTCTACACTACCACCCTAGTTCGAACTAGGGTGGTTAATGTAGGCAACTGGAGTTGCAAATGAAGCCCGGGATTGGAATTTCCCGGGCTTCATTTGCATATTGCCGGGCGCCGCCATTTTTAAATGTCCGCTAGTTCGGACTCCGTGCCCGCGGCTACACATGGCACGAACTAGGTAGTGCGGACTAGGCTTCCTATTCTGAACTACCGTTACTCCTCATGGAACGAGGTGTACCGGTAGTTCGGAATAGGAAGCCTAATCTGAACTACCGAGTTCGTGCCGCGTGTAGCCGCGGACACGGAGTCCGAACTAGCGGACATTTAAAAATGGCGGCGCCCGGCAATATGCAAATGAAGCCCGGGAAATTCCAATCCCGGGCTTCATTTGCAACTCCGGTTGCCTACATTAACCACCCTAGTTCGAACTAGGGTGGTAGTGTAGACATACCCTAAGGTACCACAGGACTCCTCGTTATTTTTGCAAATACAGACCAACACAGCTACCCCCTGAGAATTGTTCTTCCAGTGATTTTTCAAGGTGCCTAAATGTTAAGTGTTGCAATACTTCAATTCCCTTATGGATGGAGGTCTTAAGGCCCATTGAAATTGGCCTCTGCTGGGGGTGCCCTTAGGTGTGACAATCTGTGCCAGTTGTGCTGGTGGTGGGTTTGTAATTCTAGGAAACAGGTGGTGTAACTCCATAGACCTAGGCCACTGAATAGGCTTCTAGGCAGTATTGTGGGTCTGAGACAGCATACCAATATAGCTCTGTGGCAGAAGCTAATAACTCATTATTGTCAAGCTGAGCATGGCTGCCTGGCTGTAGCTTGAAAAGAATTGGTATTCCACTTGATTTATACCTTCAACAAAGCCAATTAAGCAATAATTCAGGAGGAATCCATCATCGCGACAGCCTTGTTGATTAACTATCCCCAAAGTAGAGTCAAAGGTGCTTAGTATCCTGAAAAAAATAGGCCAATAATGAGGAGAGTTTGGCTGCAACACAGCAATGATTATGTTTTCAAGAGCAAACAGAGGCATAATATTATTTTCACACACAGGCTGCCATTAAGGTCAACATTTGTCAACAGATACAATAGCGTCTACCTTTGCTTGGCATATTCCAGACACCCGTATGTGGTTATCTTTTGTCCTCTGCTGACTTTGTAATGTAGATCACTCTATCCATTGCAGTGATCCACCAATATTGGAAATCTCCTATGATTTTTTTTAAGCACAAGATGCATGATATTTGGGGAATTTCTAAAAGTCCTATCTCCTCCACTCATATAACTATGGGATAATCTCTGCCCATGGGCGGCTGGTAATGTAGGCAAGGGAAGGGAAACTGCCTACATGCCCAGCTACGGTGCAGCAGCCCAGCTTCCCCCAGCCGCTGGGGAGAGCTGGGGCCAGGGCTGCAACATAGCAATCCTGGCTCTCCAGTTGGCCGGGAAGAATCAGGTTGGAGGTGGGCGGGGGGCTTGGCTCCAGGGGCAGGACCTCGGGTGGAAGGGGTGGGGATGGGTCTTGCCTTCCCCAGTGGGGCCTTCACCCACTGCCGATGTCTCTGCCTTCATTTGAGAATGGAAGTTTGTAACCTTCACAGTTGTGAAGACCAGTTTGAAAACGTGACCATAAAGGAGCCACCACCAGAAGGCAAATAGAGAACCCGAACGGTCTGTAAGATCTTGTTTCACAAGAGGGCAGCCAACGGAACTGCCAGGTCCCTGGGCAAGATGCGGGGGCAGGACAAGCTCCCTACTCCCAGAAGGAGCAAAACCTTGAGCAGAAGGGGAGGGGCTAGGGTTAGTCTCCCCCTCCCAGCCCATCAGCGCCACCTGGGGCATGCCAGCAATTTAAAAGGTGGCAGTTTAAAGGGCCTGGGACTCTCAGCTTCCTAAAATGGAAATAGCTTCCTATTTCAGCAACATTCAGCTTAGACCCCAAGGCCCTTCCCAGCCCCCAATTTGGGGCCCTGCTAGAGGCTACACTGGTGCAACTCAGTGTGTGCAAGCTAGTGACACTGACACACACAGTGTCTGGTGTGAAGAGGGTGGCTGGCCCTGTGAACCAAACACAATAATCTCTTAGTGATGGAGTGAGGTGCCCTTAAAGGGACAGTTCCTTCCCCCCCAAACTGGGTGGAGGACAATGGTACAAGAGTCAATCCTAATAGTTAGGGCCATTGAGCATACAAATATAGATAGAGTTTAAATAAGGGGTGGGCAATACAAAAATGGCAGCCCGCAGGGTTAGTCCCTGGCAGGCCACCACCACTACGTTTATCTGCACCTCCACAGCTCTCAGAGGTTCGCAACCCTGGCTGGCTGCGAATCACCGTTCACAGCCAACGTGAGCGGTGGGAAGCGGCGCGGACCAGGACACCGCTTCCTGCCACTCCCATTGGTCACGAAGGCGATCTGCAGCCAACAAGAGCAGCGATCCTCTGATAGCTGCGGAGTCGCAGGTAAACACGCAGGTGGGGGCCCGCCAGGGACTAACCCTGCGGACTGAATCCAGCCCGGGGGCCAAAATTAGACCAGGGTGCACAAAATGTAGTTCCAGCCCTACCCAGGCACCAAAAAGTGGGGCTGTTGCTCTTCAGGCACTGGGCTCTTCCGGACAAATGTCACAGGGCCCTCTGCCCCAACTGCCATCACCTGTCATTGAGGCACTTTCCAGCCCTCGGTTGTCGGCTGCTCCCCCCTTGGCCTCACTGCTACATGCAGCATTCATGGTCAGAGGCTTTTCAAGTACTATTGCAGTTTTGGTGCCAGTGTGAACCCAGTTAGATCAGCTGTTATGTGTGGAATGAGTGTGACACCTAGTGGCTGCTTAGACTAATCACAGATGTTGTCTGATCCATGTACCAGTATTTATTTCCAAGCAGCAGCCTTATTTAAAGATAGTCTGTTCAGTCCTATTCAGAAGCACACCACTGTACCTGCACAAGGACAGGTTAAACTGCTGTCAGCAACATACTCCTCCCATCCAGAGACTCTGCAATATGCTCAGAAGGGCTAATTACACCATTACATACGAACTAAGGACACTAAGAAGTGTATAATTAACTAATTGTGTAGTTGATACAATTTGCATTGAGTACACAATTAGTCGATAAGGGGCCCCACTGCAGCTCTGCAGTTCACATGCAGAAGGAGCCGGGTGTGCAGGCAGCCCAGCTCCTACTACATTTAAACTGCAGAGCTGCAGTGGGGGTAGGTCCAGGACCTGGCACAAGGTGGGACTCAGCAGTCCCAGATTGCACCAGGTCCCAGACTGCTGCACCTCTGCCTCCCCTGCTCCCTCCTCCTCCCCACCATGGAGACGCTGCAGGGAGGAACTGGCTTTCCCCCCAGTGCCAGATCCTACTCCCCTCCCCCTTGCTGCTAGTGATACAAAGGTAGCGGGGGTGGGGGGGAGGATAAGTGACTAGTTGAGTAGTGACTCTGCTACCCTATAAGCCTAGGCTTATCAGCTAGTCAACTACTCAACTAGTCGCTTATGTCCCTAATACAAACAAACAATGTGGTTCTCACCCCGGACAACTCCAGAGGTATCCTTGTTATCAACAAACATAACATGCTAACGAAGAGTTGACTTATGGAAATAAACAGTACAAAATTTGAGCAGGAACAAGGATATTTCAGAGAAGCCAAAATCACGTGTCTTCCCTAGAAAGCAGACTCTGGATGATGACTTTATAATGCTGATTAGGCAGCATGTTAATTATACTGCC